GGCATTAGAGGACAGGTTTAAAGACACATACACAAAAGGCATGGTAGTTTGTACCTATAATCCTAGTTACTAAGGAGGTAGAGATAAGAATGATTGAAGTTTGAAGCCAGACTGGGAAAAATGTTATGGAGACCCCATGTCAAATAATGAATCAGGTGTGTTAATATATGCCTGTGATCCTAGCTATGTGGGAAGATATAGGTAGGAGGATCAGGCCTGAAGCTGGCCCTCAGCAAAAAACACAAGACCTTACCTAAAAAATACCTAAAGTGGACTGGAGGTGTGGCTCAAGTGGTAGAGTGCCTGCTTTGTAAGTGAAGCCCTGAGTTCAAACCGCAGTCCCACCAAAAAAAAAAAAAAAAAAAATCTCAAAAAAATAAAGCAAAAAGGACTAGAGGTGTAGCTCAAGTGATAGAGCATCTCCTTAGCAAGCATAATGCCCTGAGTTCAAACCCCAGGAGTACAAAAAAAGACACACAAGGATATACTTTAAAGTATTGTTTCTAAAAATCTAAAAATAGAAATAAGCTATAGATCTACCAAGTACTGGTGGCTCAAGCCTTTAATCCTAGCTACTCAGGAGGCTGAGATCAGGAGGATTGAGGTTTGAAGCCAGCTCCAGGCAATTTATGAAGCCCTATCTCAAAAAAACCCATCACAAAAAGGGCTGGCAGTATGAGTCAAGTGGTAAGAGTGTTTGTGTAGCAAATATGAGGCTCTGAGTTCAAACCCCATGCATAGGACTGGAGGTATGGCTCAAGATAGAGTGCCTGCTTTGCAAGCATGAAGCCCTGAGTTCAAGCCCCAGTCCCAAAAAAAAAAAAAAAAGGAATGCATAAATTTCTACCATTGAGAGGTCTGTTATTTTGAAAATGAGAACTGTATATGCTGTGTACATGTAATATAAATTTGTTTTTCAAAAAATTCCATGCCCATATATGTATATATATATTTATGAATATGCATATATGTTTAGGAATAAGCATGAAAAATCTGCAAATATACCCACCTATCTGTATAGTGGCTGTTGTGGTTTAGCTATGACACATCACACAGAAGGCTCATATGTTGAAGGCTTTGTCCCCAGATGGTGATCCAATCATTGAGAAGTAATTGGCTAATGAGCGCTCTGATCTAATCAATAGATTAATCACTGATGGACTCATAATTTGATGGCAATGTTGGGAGACAATGGAAACTTTCAGAAATGAGGCCTAGTTGGAGAGAGCAGACCACCAGGAGCATGTCCGTATGGTCTATTGTGCCCAGGCCCTTCTCTGTCTCACTCTGCTTCTGATTCCTGGGGGCCTTAAAGTGAGCAGCCTGTGCCACCCCTTCCCACTGCCATGATGTTCTGCCTGGCCTAGGGCCCAAAGCAGAGCTCCAATCAACCTTGGACTCAAGGCCTTGAAATCATGAGCCAAAATGAATTCTTTCTCCCATAAGTTATTTTCTGAGGTATTCTGTCACAGGACCAGTCTGACAGTCTGACACAGACTGTTTTGGGAAGTTAGGAAGTGAGACTGTTGCTGGAAGTGGGCTTCATGTTTTCTGTATACCTGTCTATAATTTTTAATTTAACAATTGTACTACTTTTATTAGTTAAGAATATTTCAAACAGGTAAAAATGATTTCTTAAGAATAATTTCCTCTGGGTGTGTTTCCTTACATCATCCTATTTAGTTATATGTTTCAGACTCATTAATTAAACATAGCACAATATACTCCAATGTTTAAGTTTGGCTTTTTTTCCCTTGGCAGTACTAGAGTTTGAACTCAGAGCCTTTCACTTGCTAGGCAGATTGCTCTTCCAAGTGAGCCACACCTCCAGCCCTTTGGGCTTTAGATTATTTTTCAGATAAGGGTCCCACTTTTTGTCTGGGTTGGTCTTGAACCAAGATCCTACTGATCTAGCCTTCTAAGTAGCTGTGATTACAGGTGTGAGCCACCACACCCAGCTAGTTTGACTTTTCTTGTATAAAACCTGAGCCAATCTGGACCACTTGTAATTAAATCCAAGTGATTGTGATTGGCTTTTGGGTTTCCTAAAATGTTATTAATTTTAATTTAGTACCAGGCCCTTGAAATTTCATTTATGTCTTTTCGCACCTGCTCTTTAAAATTGCCTTTTATTAGTCATGCACTTAGGGGGTAGGTGTGTGGCTCAAATGGTACAGCATCTTCCTAGCAAGCATGGGGCCCTGAATTCAAACCCCAGTACCACAAAAAAAAAACATGCAGTTAACCCAAACCCCAGACTTCTTTTTAATAAATTGCTGCAGAATCAAATCACCTGCCATTTGTACCCCATCCATTACTTTTGTAAATAGGTAAAAATAGGTGTTTACATTTACTTTTGTTAAATTTCATCTTGTAGATTTCAGTACAACATTCCAGCCTGTTAACAAAATTTTGATCTTCTTTTGCGTTGCACTCCATCTCCTGTAAGTTTTATATAATCTAAAAATTTAACCACTACAAAGATCATAAAATTATAGACAATAGACACCAAGAAGTTTTTAATATAGTGGTCTTTTTAGCTGAAAATAACTGAAAAAAGGGCTGGTGGAGTGGCTCAAGTGGTAACAATGCCTGCTTAGCAAGCCTGAGGCCCTGAGTTCAAACCCCAGTGCTGCCAAAAATAAAATAAAATAGGAGAACGAGGTGGTGGCTGTGGTGGTGGCTAACTGCGTGATTTTGACACAGGCAGGCCACAGACAACTTTCAAAAACTGTGCTCATTGGCCAGGTTGGACTGGAGGTAAGGCTCAAGAGGTAGAGCACCAGCTTTGCACGTGCGAAGCTGTGAGTTCAAACCCCAGCCCTACTAAAAAAAAAAAAAAAAAAAAAAATCAAGCAACTGCACAAACTAGCTTTTGGTGCTGATAGCCCTCCCATAATCATGGTTAACGTTCCTAAAACCCACCAGACTTTCTGTAAAAGTGCAGCAAGTACCAGCCTCACAAAGTGACACAGTACAAGAAGGGCACTTCTTGTGTAAGTCCAGAGAAAACAGCGTTATGACAGGAAGCAGAGTGGCTATGGTGGGCAGACTAAGCCCATTTTCCAGAAAAAAGCTAAAACTACAAAAAGAATAGTGCTGAGGCTTGAGCGTGTTGAGCCCAACTGCAGATCTAAGAGAATGCTGGCTACTGAGAGATGCAAGCATTTTGAACTGGAAGGAGATGAGGACAAAGGGACAAGTGATCCAGTTCTAAGCTTCATTTTTTTGCTTTTTTTATGAAGAAAATAAAATCATGAGGTCAATTAAAAAAAGAAAAGAAAAGAAACCTTAAACTTAAACCAAAGGAAATTTGTCAGATGGAGACAGAGATGTCTCACTGACCTGAAGACAGGAGTGACACCTGAGAGAAGCAAGGCAGGAAACATGCTTTCTCCCTGCCTTATCTCTGCCTCTTTATGCTCTGTCTCTCCCCCAGCTAAAACTCTACCTCCGGGGCCTAGGCCCCTTCCTGACCACAATCCCGTGTGCAGTACCTCTCAACTCCACCCCCCATTTGCCCTGAGAACCACCCCAGATACTGAGAGTTCACACCTTCCCTCTGGCCACAGTTTCAGTTTCCAGAGGCAGTACTCTGAGTGGGTTAGGTCTCTACCCTGATCCAACCAAATGTGGCCAAGGAGGCAAGTTCAGACAGAACAGACATGGCTTCCCAGAGCCATCCAGCACAATTCACAGAAAGAGAAGTATGATATTGATAACCACCTAAGGAGTACCTGCCCCAAATTTGTCTACTTAGAAATATCAGTGGACATCAACTCTACATCTGACATATTGCAAATCAGGCCAACCTAAGTTCTAAGTAAAGGCAAGGCTTTAAAAGTAAAAAAAAGAGGGGCTAATTTAGTGGGTAAGTACCTTAGATTTTAAGTCAAAACTAGAGGTTGAATGCTAAATCTGCCACAAACTAGTTATTTTAACCTCAGGAAAGTTAGTTTCTCATCTCTAATGTGGCAAAAAGTATAGCTAGTGCCATTGGGTAGCTGTAAATATTAAATGACAAAATATATGTGTCTACCCAGCTCATAGCAAGACTTGATAAGGGCAAGTATTGTTAGTGTCATTGAATCACTGTTAGAGTTACCATGAAAAAGTAAATCTGTAATGGTGTCTTAGGAGGCGGTGGACTTAGCATGACATTTATATTACAACCATAACTTTATTTATTTGTATGTATGGGGGAGATATAGGAAACTATAGAGTACCTATAGGATGTATCAGTCTATGACTTGATAATAGCATATATAAGATAATAAATGTAATAGGATAAGATAATAAAAATAATCTAATAATATAATAAAAACATGACCTTCCTGTAACTGGCTCCCTGAGTGTGGGAGCTGCCTGGTACACACCTCGACATACCTGTGGGGTTGTACAAAGAGATGCTACACACATGACTCCAGAAATGTCAGCCTTGTCATATAGTGGCAAGAGGCGAAAATGCTCCGGAAAAAACTGTCCTTTATTTAAAATAGAAACTTCGAAGGAAGCCAAGTTCGCATTGACAACTGAATGTCCAATTCTCTTATCAGGGGACAAAAAGCCCCTTCATTTATGGAATGAGAAGGAGAATTACTGGTATCAAAATTCCCTTTTCCTTTTTGGTGAATTTCTCCAGCCAAGCTTGGCGCTAACCGAGTAGGCGATTTCACTTCACAAAAGACTTCCAAATTCACTGCGGCAGACACGCAAAATAAAAATGTTAAGTACATCCTAGCTGGGTGGGGGGGGTGCGACGGAAGCCTCCACGCTCAATCGAAGGTTTGCAATAATAGGATTCATAAAAAAAAGAAAAAAGACAGATGGGATTAGGAAATGTTGCAGTGAAGACTGGAGCGAGATGAGCTCACAGCACAGCCTGTCTTTTGTGGACCTACACAATGATCCTCCAGCCAGACTGGATTAGGAACCCTCGCCACTAGTGGTCCAGACAGACGCTGCGTCCCCAGCCCTTAGGGGGAGAGGAGGCTGCAAGGATGCATCAGATCTACAGCTGCAGTGAGGAGAACATAGAAGTTTTTACCACCGTGATTCCTTCCAAGGGTGAGTCCACTTGCCCTTGACTGTCTCTTAGCATGGCACCTTCAGTGGGAGCATGAGGACAATGACATGCTGTTACCTCTGTGTGTCGTTCCCCGCCCCCGCCCCCCAAGGTCTGATGGCTTCTCTCTGTTCTGTTCATGGTATTTGGTAATTTTTTTTTCTAGAAAGGAAGCTCAAGAATGACATTAATCACTGAGAGCAATCTATCAAGGGAAACAGGACAGTTAAATGCTTTGAGTTTCACTCCATTCAATGCCGGCCAGCCTACGGGATGAGTGAAAGTGACAGTGAGTCCTGGTTAAGAAAATAGATGCAAAGGGAATCCCCAGGGTGGCTAGGTAGAGCAAGTGCATTCTGAAAGTAGAACCAGCTGGCTCAAAAGTAAGCTTGCTAACCATGCCATGAAAGGTGATCTGATGTCCAATGAAGCAGCCAAATAGTGCTCTCACCCCTGGCCGACCTCTCCATGGAACCCCAGGATCACCTGCCAAACCTCACCTGGACCTAGCACTGCCAAAAAATGTCCACCTTATAAGCCATGTGGTCCCCAGTGATACAGGGAAAGGGCTTTGTGTGAAGGCCCATTGATTTGGGGTCAGGTTGCTGACCCTTTCTACTGTCCCCTGTTCAGCTCTGCAGCCCCTTGTCACGTGGGGGAACCCGGGCTCAGGCCTGGCCCCTGGTCTCATTGTAAGAATTGAATGAAGTGGGCTGGATGTTTGCTGGTGCTGTGACTCCACAGTCAAACAATTCCTTTCTTCCTTCTGTGTCAGCCACTGACAGGGCCATTGCTGGGGGGGTTGGGGGGAAAGGGTGACAGTCAGCCTGGCCACAAAGACAGCCAGCAGAACATAAATTAAGCTTTAGGCATTTAGACATCTACTGCCAGAGAGAGAGAAGAACTGGGAGCCTGCCCACGTGTAGGAGTTGAAATTCTCTCTGGAGGTTCTGAAAGTCAAAGTCTCTGAGCCAGCATTTTCATAGTTAAGTAGACAGCCCAGGGGAGGAGCTCACAAGTGATGCTCACAGTGGCAAGAGGACAAAACTGGGAATAATCTATATGTCCATGAAGACAGGGATGGAGAAAATGTGTACTATGAAATACACCACAATGAATGGGCACAGATGGATCTTTTTACTGTATTTATAAGTATTTTATTATTATTACAGTATTGGCAAAAAGCCCAACATTAAATAAGTGTTCTACCACTGAGCTATACTCCCAGACATATAGATGGATGTGGAAAAAAATAAGCAAGCTGAAAAATTATATGTGTATGATAGCATTTCTGTAAATTTTGAAATATAAAGTAATATATTTATGGATAAATATCTGGAACAAAATATAAAAACATGGACCAGAGTGATACAGATAAAATTAGTGAGCTAAGTGGGTCTCTGGAGGGAGGGAAGTAAAATTAGAGCAAAGCAAAAAGGGCCCTAAACTTTGCTTCTGATCTTTCATTTCTTTTGTATAAGGAGAAAACAAATGGGTAGCAAAAATAAAAATGTCTATTTTTTGTAATCCAAAAAAATCACACCTGTAAGCCTAGCTACTCAGGAAGCAGAGATCTGGAGGATTGAAGCCAGCCCTAGGCAAATAGTTTGCAAGACCCTATCTTAAAAAAAAAAAACCATTACAAGAAGGGCTGGTAGAGTGGCTCGATCAATAGGAGTGTCAACTTAGCAAGCATGAGGCCCTGAGTTCAAACCCCAGTGCTACCAAAACATATATTTAAAGAGAAAGTCAAACACAAAGTGGCTAAGAAGCTGCTGACATTTCCATGCTGTGTAACCTTGGAAAAGCTACTTAACTTCTCTGGGCCTGAGTTTTCACTCCTATAAGAGGTAAACTGAATTGACCTCCCAGTATTATTATAAAGAATAAGTGAGTTAATGGTTAAAGCATATAGAACAGTAGCTAGCATATAGTAAGCACCATTAAATACATCACTTAATGTGATTTCTATTCTAGTCTGCATAAGAATGAGTTTTTCCTATGTTCTTTTCCTGCCATTTTCACTCCTGGCTTCTTCCTGGTATTAGACCAATGTGTTGGCATTTATGGGCCTGTGTCTGCTCAGGAAATCGCTCTCTAGAAAAGCAGTATTTGCAGATTTGCGTTAGGTCATAAGTGGACAGAGCCCCAACCCTTCCCTCTTCTTGCTTTGCCTACCTCTAGCAGAGGCTGACTGTGCAGCAAGCCTGGACTCACAGGTCTCCTGTCACTGCTGATGAAAGAGATGAGTGGCCCTTTCTCATGTCCCAAACGCCCTAACTGCAGAAGTGCAAGTTGGCTTGACTTTATCTAACAAGGGCCAAATCCTCCTGGAAGGGCCCTTTCCCAAGGCCACAGGTGAGCCACGGTCATCAGGGTACAGTAGCCAAACCTTCCTAAGAACCTCAGCAGCATGGGCCATGCAGCCTACTTAGGGGTGTGGACTTAAGCTGGGAGTGGTGATGCATACCTATAATCCCAACACTCGGAGGCTGAAGCAAGAGGATCATGACTTCAAGGTCACTCTGTCTCAAACAAAACAAAAGGGGGGGTGGGCTTTGTTCCGTCATTAACTGAGTGTCCCTGAACCCCTCAGGATGTCTGTTCATGCAGTGTGGTTGTTGGAGAATCCAAATGTATCTGAGTTGCTGTAAAAGCGAAAGGGCTGAGACAAATAAGCAGTGACCCAGTGAGGTCAATGTGACCTATTAAGACAATCTATCAGTTATTATGTCCCTCTTTCCAGTGCACACATGTGTTGTGCTCAGCTTAATAGCTACATTTTTTAGCTGAGCCATCTTAAATGCCTCACAAAACTTGGCAATAGCAAATAGTATGGTATTGGTGTTTCTTAAGTATTTTGAAGACACAGGACATAAATCAAGCCTGCAACCAAGAACATGTGTGTATTGTTACTTTCTAGAGAAGAGATCTTTGTAGACACAGTTTACAGTAAATACAAAGGATAAAAGCTGTGGTTTTACCAGGAAGTTGTACCAGAAGTTATTTCTGAGGTGCACCAGAATTAGTTTGATTCTGAGGTGAACAGTACTGCAGCATTGAAAACAATTTTTGGGGGGATAGGCCACAGTGAGGAGGGAGGAGGAGAGGAATTGGGGAACAACAAGAGACAATGAGGAAAGTTCCAGAAAGCACAAGTGATGCTGCCTTCCTCCCATCCTCAGCCCTCACCCTGAAGGAAAAGCCCTGGGAATGACTGTGCCAGGCTCTGGGCAAGGGCTCTTACCAAGGTTAGTGTATTCAGTCCCTGACGCAGCCCTCTGAGGCCAGTGCCATTCATTCCTGCCTGACACCAGGAGAGTGAAGCTCTGACAGGTGAACAATTTGCCCACCACATAATGGCAAGGGTCAAGTTCAGATTCACACCCAACTGGAGGAGTCAGAAGCTCTGGCTTACTAACCAGCACCTGGCACTCCAGGCTTTCCAGCTCTACAGAAGTAAGCAGGGCAGCACTCATCTGTCACTCATCTGCCACCTGATAAGATGTCATCCCAGTTCTAAGCAGAATAGGGATGTATGGGATTTCAGCTGCACTAGATCATCCTAGTAGGAAGGTGGAAAATGAGTGTCTGATGGTTTTCTTTTGAAATAAAATCCACACCTTTTCTCAACAAAGTATGGGAAGCTCTTCCTTCCTTTCTTCCTTCCTTCCTTCCTTCTTTTCTTTCTTTCTTCCTCCCTCCCTCCCTCCCTTTCTTCTTTCTTCTCTCTCTCTCTCTCTCTCTCTCTCTCTCTCTCTCTCTCTCTCTCTTTCACAGCACTGGGGTTTGAAACCAGGGTCTTGCTTGGGGGTGAACTATACCCCAACCTGGGACTGGTCTCAGACCATTATCCTCCTACCTTATTCCCTTGTAGCTGGAATTACAGGCATGTACCACCATGACTGACCTGGCTAACTGATTTTTTTAAACTGTTTTTTTTTAATTGTGGTAAAATGCACATAACAGAATTCACTAGTTAAAGCATTTTAAGGTGTCCAGTCCAGTCCAGTGGTGTTATGTACATTCAAAGTGTTGTACAATCATCACCGCCATCCATCTGTAAAACTTTTTCATTATCCTAAACTAAAATTCTGTACTCATTAAGCAATAACTCTTCATTCCTCCCTTCCCCCAGCCCCTGGTAATTAGCATTCTATTTTCCATCTGTATGAATTTGACTGCTCTAGGTATTATGTAAGTGGAATCACATAATATTTGTCCCTTTTTGTCCCACTTATTTCACCTACTACATTTTCAAGGTTCATCCATGTGTGACATATATTAAGATTTCTCATTTCTTTTCAAGACTGAGTAATATTCCTTTGTATGCATATAACACATTCATTTATCCATTCATCTGTTGCTAAGCATTGGATCGCTTCCAGCTTTTAACTATTGTGAATAATGCTGCTATAAACTTTGGTACTCAAGTCAAACAGTATCCTAAATTGTAATGGAACCCTGCCTTTTCTTCCCATTCCCTCCTCTATGTCAGGTCCAAGCCTTCTCAGTGTCTTCATTGTAGCTATGTAAGCCTCCCGGGCCTTCTGTAAACCATTTCTTTCTCTCTTTTTGCAGTGTCCAGTCCAGCCAGGAGAAGAGTCAAAAGTTCTCAACACCTCTTGACAAAGAATGTAAGGACATTTAATTTGGATCTTCTTTGTCTGACTTTCATTACAAAACCAACACCAGCTTCTTCATTCTCTCTCCTGCTCTCTATGTCCCATGTGGCTGTTGCCGAATCCTTGGTCCTCCACTTAACTGAAATAATGGACAAATATCAACCAAACATCAAACAAACTCAAAGCAAACACCCCTACCCTGCCATTTTCCCCAGGGACAGAGTAAAGCTCACTTCGAGCGCACATTTTTTCGTGTTGAAACAGAGTCCGTGATACAGCTGCAGCATCCTTGAGCTAGGTGTCCTCTTATTGTTCAGGTTTGTGATGTTCGATTCTCACTGTCATAAATAGCACAGCAAGCAACCTACTGGTACAAAATACTTGGCGCATTGCCTCAAACCAGAACTAACAGGTAAAAGAATAAAATATTCCATCCATCCACCCAGCCCTCAAATGTTTGCATTCCTACTGTGTGAGAAACACTGTGCTAGATGTGAGAATGTAAGAGTGGTTTGGAAAAACTGCTTTCTGCTTACACTTTTGTCACACACTGCCAAGGATTCTGAACAATTTGGGGACTTCTAGCAATGCTTTTCCATTTACCTGTAACCAACGATAAACATGGGCTTTATGTTTTGCTACTTTAATGTGGATATGCAGTATCTTTAGTGTGTACTAATGCTATACATCTCTCATTTTACATACATATTTATATGTGTAAAAAACTCAATATAGCTTTGCACTTCATTCGAAAGACTGTTAATTGTTTCCTCTTGGTTATCCTGGAGTTCCTGTTTCAGTCACAATTTTTTATAGAATACCACTTTGGGTTTTTAAGTATCTCAATTTTTAAAAGCCTATTCTCTAATATTTGTAGGTGTCTTGGGAATGAGATAGGCTTTCATTTGTTGCTTCTGCATACATTTGTTCTGCTTTTAATTCCAAAAGCAATATGCTCCCATTGCAAAATTTCAAACATTACACACACACACACACACACACACACACACACACCCCACACAAAATCCTGAGAAGCTGTATAACAAAGTGGTAGATATGGAGACTTCAAGGGTCAAACTATCTGGGTGTAAATCCAAGTTCTACCAATTTCTCATTGTGCAACCTTGAACAAAATGGATATAATAAGAGCACGTGCCTCGAGAACCATAGGAAGAAACAAATGATTTTATACGCAGAAAATGCTTCTTAATCCAGAGACTGACACAATTTTGAGTATTCAATGAACATTGGTGTTTTTAAGTGAAATTTTCCCATATACTAAACTATAATTATGCTTTGTTGTTTGATAAGATACTGTTCTGCAAATTGCTTTTTCTACTTAACAATAGATTGTGAACATCTTTCCTTGCCAATTAATATATATAGATCTATCCATTCTTACTACTGCATAGTATTCTAATGTATGAAATGCTATTATTTATTTACCCAAATCAAATCTGGAGTTTTAAGATTCATTATCCAAATCATCAATAAATGGTATTTTCCTTTTTTTTTTCTATTAAGACAATGCCCCAAGAGATACTCTTGAAAATATTTTTGTATTCTTATACAAATGTTTTTGAGGATAAATTCATAGATATGAAAGTTCCAGGGCAGAGGATATGAACATGGAAAACATTGTAGCCATTCCCAAGACAGATAGGTATCTTGGTCCACTGCTTCCTTTTACAGATGGAGAAAGTGAATGTCAACAAAGACATAACCATCTCTGGTTCCATTTCCTCAACCAATTTGCTCTTGGCCACCTTAAATGCCTTCTTGTGTTCTCTAACTTGGTGCTTTGAAGGCAATTGTGACTGGTCATCTTGCCTGGGACGATCCATCTTATTTTGCTACTGTACCAATATTTACAACTTCCTTTAGCCCTAAGTTCTTATTTGCTTCTCTTCTCACTCCTCCGGCTACCATGTGGATACATGTCTTTCCTTTGCAAACACCCCTTTCCTCTTGGAGCCATCTTTAGTGTCAGGGTTTCCTTCCTCTCTGTCTGCTCTTGAGTTGCCTTTTCTTCCAAACCCACAGACTTGGCTGAACAGTCTCGCCTGTCTTTGTTTCTTTTTTGTTCTTAAGCTATTTGATTGACATTCTGATGTCAATCTATGCCCACTGGTGTCATAAGAGTAGCTCAAGAGAATAGGGAGTTTTTAAGCCTTTCAGCATAATGGAGCCACTGCCACTATGAGTCACTGCCCCTTTACAGCCACCAAAATGAATGGTCATCATCAGGAGAAATGAGAAATGAGATGGCAAATGTCACACTGTCCCCAGATTTCAAGCTTGTGGGGGAGGGTTGCATAAAGTGATCTGTGTTTTTTAAATACATTGAGAAAACAATTGCACTTAAAAATTCTGATCTGGATGTAGGTGCTTTTGTAGGCTTTACAAAGACCATTCACGTAGGAGGCATGAAACCATGGTTCATGTTGGCTCTCTCAGTGACCTTGAATAAGACACAGGGCCCCTCCCGGCCTGATTCTCCATGTGTAAAATTAGAGAGTTGGGCTAGAACATTTTTGTGGATCTCTTAACCCCAAATCATGATGGTTCATCACTATTAGGTCTTGGTTTGTCTTTCTCACTCCCTACCAGCCCTCCAGGATGGCAAACAAACAAGATGTCAGAGGAGGGAGTTCTGGGGCTTGTATGTTAGCCCACATCTCTCTCCTCCTCTCTCTCACCTAAGACCAGCAGGGGAGAATCAATTTATTGAGTAAAGTTTGTGACTCTAGTATGTTCCTCTATTTCGGTAGTCAGTTTGCCTAGGAATGGAAAATTCCAACACTAAATCTTTGTCTCTTTCCTTTCCTGATACCCCAGCTCTTTAATCTTACCTCAAAAGGCAAAGTGCTAAAAAGCTTTGGGACCACCTTGTTCTAAGACCAGCAGCAGCAAGCCTAGACTGTGTCCCATAGGCCAAAAAATAAACCAGGCTATCAAGAACCTACTATTGGCATCCTTTAGGTGCATACCCTAAACAGCTGGTCTCATCTCCACCTCTGGGGAAACCTCCATCTATCTGGCTTCTGGGCTGAGCAGCTAATGCCTCTCCACACTCCATCCCAAGTCTCCCACCCCACAGTGCAGAGAAGGATTGGAGAGGTGGCTTATCTGCCTCCCTTTCAGAGGAAGAAATTCTGGAAGATGATGGTGTTTTCTCAGGCTTTCATGTCCTGCCTTACTTCATTCTACAATTGTGTGTGAAATCACCCCGCCAATCCTCACTCTTTGGAGGTAGCTCAGTGCATGGTCAGACATCAGGAATAGCTACAATGAAAGGCTGACCACGCAGAGCCCAGCGAGGCTCAGGTCCCCTCACTCAATCCTGGATATTCACAGTCCCAGGGGTCCCTAATGCCACACAGTGATGTGTCCAGTGGGATGGGACTAAGAACTACCATTAATTTGGGAAATTCCAGAATGTTGGGTGACATGGCACAGAACAGTGCTACAAGGAAGGAAGGAGAGAAGACACAAGCGGCTTGTGTAGGGAGTGCAGACCACCTTCCACCTGTACTTCAGAGAAAGAGAGAGAGAACTGGTCTTGAGTGCACAGGTTTTGTCCTCAGCCTGAATCTAAGGCTTGCAGGAAAACCAACAAAATCACCACCCTCTGCAGTGCCAGGGGTGGGGAGGGCATGGGATTTTTCAATGCCAGTGATGAGTCCTAAATGATCCAGAATTATCCTCAGTTTTTCCCCAAAGACATGGAATGGATGAGTCTGGGTCCTAAAATGGACCTGAGAAGAGTGAATTTCCTAACCTATTTAGGACCTCATTTGAGATGCATTAAATTTTTAAGCAAAGGACTATTTGTGGTAAACTGAACCAACCTTCAGTTTCAGTTTCTCTTATTTTCCTCTGTGAGAGACACAAAAACTTGGCCTTGAAAAGACTTAATACCACTCTCAAATGCTGTAGATAAATATATGTCATGAAAATAAAGAGCAAGATGTGCTCCTGGAATCTCTGCTAATGGTAGACATTTCCTATGTCTCAGTACAGCAGGGCAGCACAAGCAACCCTTTTCCACAAAACTCTGAAGTGTCAGAACTGGGGTCTGAAATCAGGTCAGCCCAACCCCAAATGAAGTTATCTTCTCCATTGATAATCTGATATGAAGGAAATGTTGCTTTAATTTGAATTTAATTAGTGTTGTTTAGCATATTGTCATTTTCTTGACTATTTGTATTTCTGCTGTCAATTGCCACATTATATTTTGCCCCATTTTTCTATTTTTTCAACTTTATTGATTTATAAGTTTTATGAACATAAGGATAAGATGCTACTATATGTAGCAAGTGCTATATCGAGTTACATTCTATATTAGTGCTTGTGGTTTAACACGCAGCTTTGATCTGGCTAGTGTTCATTTCTAGAAATGAACATAGATCCATCTTTCTGGATGACTTGATGCTTATCCCAAGAACATTTAGTAAAGTCTCAATTTTTTTCCCCTGAGTTGAAATATCACCCTGCTATCATGTTTTTTTTTTAAATAAAATATTTTTGCCTCAGCACTCCCCAAAGGCAACACAATTGTTGGTGGACAATTGTTGGCTAGACACTCATAGAGTATCCAGGATGGGGCAGAGAACAGCCCTGGCAGGGCAGCTGTGCAAGGAAGGAGCAAGCGAGTGGGTGAACGCCGATCTCAGTGAAGCTGCAGTGTGGGAGGCCCTGGAAGTTCTAGTGAATGAGCTTCACGGAGTGAGGACATTCAGATTCAACGACCCCAGTGCTTTGGATAAGGATAAAATATGTAGGCTCTGATCCCCAACAGCTAAGAGTCTCTTTGTGACTCCCCATAGTAAGGTAAAATGGTTGCAATTATTTGTCTCAAGTTTTTATATTTAAATTTTTTCAATGATTTTTAACCACAGCCATCCCTCAGGACCCTCAGGTTCTAGGAAACTCACAGATACCAAAATTCATTCATATGCTCAAATCCCTTATATAAAGGGCATAGACAGCATTTGCATATAGGTTTATACGCATCCTCCCATATACATTTTTTTTATGGTAATGGGGTTTGAACTCAGGGCCTTGCTCTTGCTAGGCAAGTGCTCTACCACTTGAACCACACCTCTAACGTCCCCCATACTTTAAATCATTTCTAGATTACTTATAATACCTAGAACCATGAAATGCTATGTGAACACCATAAAACCCTGATTTCAAGACCATACTCGCTTTTTTTCCATTTTTATTAGCATATATTCATTGTAAAGGAGAATTCGTTGTGACAATTTTAAATAGCCTTACAATTTACATTGGTTAGATTGCCCTCTCCATCTCCACCCCCCACTCTCCACCCCTCCCTGTCCCACTTAAGGCAATTGCCAGAGGTTTAATTGTTCTATTTCCTATCTGTGTGAGGCCCATCAACCATATTCCCTCACCTTCATCTCCTCCTTTCACTCACCCCCTCCCAAAAGTACCCCCCTCAAACTGTACCTATTTTATAGTGCTATCTTTCTTAATTTCAAACTCACTGTGCAAAGGGGGTTCTCAATCTCGATGTATTCCAGCTGTGAATATACTTTACTTTGCCAGTTCAACCCCCTCTGTTACTCTCCCTTACTTCTTCCCTCCCGTCCCCCCATTATTCAGCAGCTTTCAGGACCGCACTTCTTTCTAACAGCCTCTTACTGAAACGAGTCAGCATTGAGGCAGCTGATCTGCTCGGATTTGGGGCCTGGTCACAGGCTCCTGACTGGTGGGACTGCTGTTGAGGAGCCCCTGCCCCCTGCCCCAGGGCCAGTTTTCTGTCTGTTGTCTTTCTGTTCCTAACTTTCACGGGACTAAGAAAGTCTACAGAAACCCCCTTGCCAACCCAAGGCCCATCCGCGAAGCTCCAGGGCTGGGGCCATGGGTCTTGAGTTCCAAGGAGAGGTTTAGCTGACTGTCCTTCCTTCCTTCCCCTGGCAGGTGGTGATCGAGTCTGACCTGTACACACCCCGTCCCCTGGAGCTGCTGCCACACCGCAGTGACCGCTGGGACACAGGTGACAGCTGCAGGTTCAACCGGCTCCAAAACGCAAGGCCACCTGGGACCCATCCTACCAAACCCCCAGCCAGACCTGGTAAGTGAGTCCTGGCCCCAGGTCCTCCTAACATTCCTGAGTGCAGGGACCCACTAGGAGCAGCAGCGACAGGAGCTACTCCCACCTTGTTTTTCTGCAGAGGACCTTGTGGTCGGTCCTCCCTGGTGTCCCCAGTCACACCAGGTGAGTGAGCACCTGCATTTTTCCCAAATCAACGCTGCTTCCACTATGAAAGCACCGCTTTGGGGCCTCACCTACAGAAGGCCAACCAACACCTTCCACCTATGAAACATTGGCTCCTTCCTGTGCGTGATGATTGACAATGCATGGTGTGCCATCTTGCTCCACAGAAGCTGTTTCAGATGTAAATCAGTGTTGCTTTGGGGGAGAGAAAATCATGACCCATGAAGTAAAGGAAGTTGTGTGTGTGTGTGTGTGTGTGTGAGAGAGAGAGAGAGAGAGAGAGAGAGAGAGAGAGAGAGAGAGAGATGATGATGATGATGATGATGATGATGATGATATGATATTTAGGTTATGGCCACAACCTAAACTTACTCATCTTTTAAGTCCAAAAATACATGATGGGAAGTCCAGAGCCCCTTCTTAAGCTTTTGGGCATTAACAATTTTGTATTTTGTAAGAACTGAAATAAGACTTCAGTGAGTATGTACCTTCACTCATCTTTCCCCAATCCCCCTTCTTTTTGCTTTTTGTACTGTTTTTTGTTTGTTTGCTTTTATTTCCCTTTTTTTGGGTGCCAGACCAGACCTCTAAGGTCTCTTTGGTCACTAAGAACCTGACCCATTGGCTCTTACGATCCAATGTATAAGAACACATATAATCAAACTATATTTTCTAGTCAAGTGATTACATATACAGTATGTATGTAGAATGAAAGCATTAGGAAAACCACAATCTGCCTTGCAAATTAAGAGGAGATTTTTCTCTGTGTCTATGTATAGGTGAGTGGGTGGGTGCATGCATGTCTGTGGAAAAAGAGGCAGAATATTTCTCTTTGCTGCAAAATAATAAAGTGAACTTAAGAGTCATGCTTCTTAAATTCTAGTGTGCAAGAGAATACCCAGGAGCTTTGTTTTTATACAGATTCTAATTTGAGAGGATTAGGTGGGTCCAAGATTTTATTGTTTCTAACAAACTCCAGATAGTGCTACTCCTGCTCGTAGGAGATCGAGTAGTAGGGATTTAGAGATCACCTAATGATCTCCAAAGTGTTCTCAAAATAGGATCCAGGGAAGAGCAGCAGCAGCTGGAAATGTATCAGAAATGTAAATTTTATTGAAACCCAGGGTTAGGATGCATCAATCTGTTTTTTTAAAAGCATTGCTCTTGCAGATGATTCTCATGAGTCCTGGTGGTAAAGGGCTTCTGACCTACTGCAGTCATCCCTCTGCCAATTTACAGAAGAGGAAACTGAAGCAGTAGAGACAGCTTGACCTACAAAAGGTCAGACTGCTTGTTAGCCACAGAACCAAGATGAAATCTCAGATTCCAGAACCAGTGCCTCTTCCCCCAGATAGTAATCTGTCTAATTTTAGGGGTCACTTTCATACTTTTTTTTTTTTTTGCTGTACTGGGGTTTTGAACTCAGGGCCTACACTTTGAGCTACTCTACCAGCTCCCGCCCCCCCTTTTTGTGATGGGTTTTTTCAATATAGGGTCTCATGAACTATTTTGCCTACTCTGGCTTTGAACCACAATCCTCCCGATCTCTGCATGAAGAGGATTATAGGCATGAGCCACCAGTGCCCACTTTTTTCTTTTTTTTTTTGGGAGAGAGCCTCATTATGTAGTTCAGTCTAGCCTCAAACGGATGATTTTCCTGCCTCAGTCTCCTGAGGGCTGGGATTACAGGCATGAGCCACCACTTCTGGCTACTTTCATACCTTTCTAAGTAGTTTGTGGCATCTTGGACTACCCAAGTCAGTTTTTTATTATAAAAGACAAGAGCAGTAAGTTATGAAATAGGAAGAATCTGTCCAACACGTGACAGTCAACTCATGTAGGGATGTGCTAGTCAGGTTTAAAAAAAAATAGATTGAGCTAGGCATTCATTCAATTCCTCAGTGTCTCCAATCTGATAGATTCCAGAATGAGTAGGAGGAAGCATTTCTGAGCCAAAGCCAGACCCTGGTGCTCTCTGAGGCAAGGCTAGGCACCAGCCCATGGGTATCAAATACTTCCTCCTCTAAGAAAACTGTCTGTCCCTGGGGATCTCAGATCTGGGGCCTTGCTTTTTTTTTTTTTTATCTGACCTGTAGGAGAAGATCCTGGGTGTTGCAGCTTCTTGTGTGACAGGGAGATGCTCTAAAGAATCTGGGGGAATCTCTGGGACTCTGAAAACAGAGACCCAATGAGAAAGTCTCACCTTGAGGCCTCAGGTGCCTGGAAAAGGGACAGTCCCCACCCTCTGAGCCTGGAGAAATCGACTCTCTACAGAACTTCTGCATTGAGATGACCTTGGGCGCCTCAGAACTAGCTTGCTCAAGCAAGTTGAAAGGTCCTTTCTTAGCTGGGGCCACTAACAATTATTCCAGCAGGTCTTGGATGTCTTTTCTAACACCTCCATTTCCCCACCACACATGAAACACTGATGAGGTCAACTCCCGGGTATTTCTTATCTCGCTCTCTGGACCCAGGCTCAGGCTCCCTCATCTCAAATGTGTGAAGAACGTTATCAGCTAAGGTCCTCAGCCTCCAGTGTCTCTCCTCTACAAGGCTACCAGTGGGGTCCTCTATAGCAGAAACAAACTGCCTGTCATTGTTTGCTTTAAACACTGTATCCCCTCCCTCCCACCTGCCTCCCAGGCCATGCTGATCTGTCCAGGGCTACCTCCCATGACACTCCTGTCCCCACTATCCTATCAGGTAGAGCGACCCAGAGCTGCAGTGCAATTCTGTGACAGCTCCATTATATTCTTCCCTGGACCCTCACTGACACTGTTCTTTCTGTAGTTTGCCCTCCCTGAGTCTCTCCACCTAGAAAATCCCAGCACCTCCCAGGGTGAGCCAGGGTGTCCCTTGATCAAGTTTCCTCAGGGCCTGCAAGAGCACCAGAGGGGTCCATTTACTACTCTCTAGCTCACCCTTACCTTGCTTCATCATTGTTATATGTCACTAAAACCTCAGCTTCCTCAGTTAGAACATGCAGACTATTATGATATTCCTTTCAACACAAGATCAAACCACTATCATCTCTTAGATCAATTAAATTTAGAAGCGTTCATTTGAGCAAGTAAAATAAGACAAAAATGAAGCTGGGTGCCAGTGGCTCATGCCTGTCATCCTAGCTACTTGGGAGGCTGAGTTCAGGAAGATGTTCTGGAGATGTGGTTCAAGAAGTAGAGCACCTGCTTTGAAAGTGCAAAGCCCTGAGTTCAAACCCCAGTCCCACCAAAAAAACAAAAAACAAAAAGATTAATTAATTAGAAAGCTTCCACAACATGAACAGGTTCTGTGAACTCCAACCAACCTGACCAGACAGCATTTATAGGAAAACATAAGTGAGACACAGAAAACTACTTAATGGGTGATAACCTAGTTAATCAACCAGTCAACTAATTACCCCTTAATTAGTTAGTTGTTTGCAGTCTAATCAGTTAAGTAGCTCCAGGGTCTCATAAAACCTGTCAAGCTCAGTTAATGAGCTTAAACTCTCTATTGACTTAGCCTGTTGGGTCCAAAGCAGGTGCCAGACCAAATCCATGGCCTCCTACAAAATTTTACTCAACAATAGTCTTATAATTTTCATTTCATTTGCATTGAAATGTTTTCCTCAGTGTGGTATTTCCCTATACGCTGAAGTACAATGAGGCAGGGCTGGTCCTGGAACATCTGCCCCAGGAGAGACCTGGATTCAGTGTGGCTACCACAGCTCAACACGTGGACCCCTAGAAGTTGCAGGCTTTAGGTAGAAATTACTCTGAAATTGGTTGGGGCATCTGGAATAAAGGCATTAAAAAGAAGGTCTTGTAGGACCGGGTGTGGTGGCTTCAGTGTAATCTTAGCTAGTCAGAAGGCACAGATCTGGAGCATCACCATTTGAAGCCAGCTGGGCAGAAAGTTTCAGAGACCCCAACTCAAACAATGGCAGAGCAATGGCATGCATCTATCACCCCAGCTACATGAGATGCACAAATAGGAAGATTGAAGTCCAGGCCAGCCCAGGCATAAAGTGAGACCCTATCTCAAATCCAAAAAGTGAAGTGACTCAAGTGGTAGAGCATCTGCCTAGCAACCCTGAGGCCCTTGGCTCAGTCCCCAGTATAAATAAATGGAAGAAAAGGAGGGAGAGAGGGAGGGCGGGTCTCCATACACACCTTTCTTGTAGCAATACCTCAAGATTCTGATCCCATAAACTCCAATCCTTCCAATTTTATGGGCCATACTTCCCAGTGAAGACTCCACCTCCCTACTCATTTCTAGCTATCCAGGAGCAGGGTGCTGCATAACTGATAACAGCTGTAAAGGCTTAACTCCTGATAACCTTTTTAACCTCTGTTACCTGAGGCCTTAGGAGCTGAGCACATGTTCTCTGAGCACCTACTGCATGAAGACACAGTGCTCAACCTCCACGTGCTGCTCGTTTAATTGACTTTATTCACCTTACATTGACAAACTAATCCTCTGTAGGCCTTAGTTCCAGCCCCCCAACAAGAGTTCAGACGTTCCAGTGGCGGTTACCACTGCCTGATCCTACTGCTTGGCTTTGAAAAATTCATTCTGTTACTGACTTGACTAACAAGATAATTGATGCAGAACCAGAGGGAGGCAGAACTCGGAGTACCACTGAGTAATATCTCCTCTGTTCAACTTTGCAGTGGGAATTTGTGAACCCAAAGCATCGAATCTGTGTGGGAATCGAGCATATGGAAAATCCTTGGTAAGTCAAGCCTGCGTAGTTGTATCTGTTCTGCTTTAAACCTCTCACCATGTCTTTTTCTCCAGTATCATAGAGACTAGATGCTCTTTGCCTCAGGCCTAAGGATTACTAGCAAAGCATAACTGTGGTTCCCTGCTCCTGAAAGCTATCCTTTGACCCTGCTTTGTGTTCTTGTGGCATCAGTGGTTTCTCCTCTCTCCCAGAAGAAATTCATTCCAGTGACAAACAGAAGCTGTGATGCAGCAGACATTGTATACATGGGGGAAAGAATTGGATTCTATCATAGGCCCTGACAGCTGGGAATGCCCAGGTGTGGCTCTAGTGTAGAGATGTAGGCTTTCAAGCACCGTGAAAACACAAAATACTAGTCTTAGTCAGCCTGAGCTACCAAAATAAAATACCAAACATTGGGGGACTGAAACAGTTCTGCAAGCTGGGAAGTCCAAGATCAGTGTGTCAGTGGATTCAGTGTTGGTGAGGTCTCTCTTCTGCCTTACAGATGGCTCCCTTCTTGATGTGGGTTGTTTGTGTATGAACATAGAGAGTTCTGAACTTTTGACTCTTATAAGGCACTAATCGTGTTCTACCCTCATGACTTCACCTAAACCTAATTACCTCCCAGAGGCCCCACCTCCCCAAACCATCACATTGGAGGTTGGGGCTTCAATGTATAAGTTTGAGGAAACACAAATATTCAGTCTATAACAACCAGTCATAGACTGCTACAGGTCAGGTTCTCAGGAAGCAGACTCTGGGATTTAGGGATTGAAATGCAAGATGCATTATTAGGGAGAAGCAGCAGTGACAGGAGTGGAGGAGCAGGCCTGGGGAGCAGGAGCAGCTGACTCATGATCTGATCCCAAATCCTACTGGTGGGGGCTCTGGGGCAAGTGTTGCCCATCCAGTTTGGTCTAAGTTGGGCCAAAATGACTGAGCATGTATGTTCCCTCCTCACTCCATCATAGCATGTGGATTGCCCCAGGAAGGGTGTGACCTTGGGTAAGGTAGCCCTCTGCAGCCAAGCCACACTTGAAGGAGCTAAGAGCCTTCAGCTGCCCATCCTCAGCACACCCTCCCACAGTTGGGTAGCTTGTCCACTGAAGACGCACTGGGTGGGCACATCTCCAGGTTTCTCTCTTCTCCTTCATCATGAATGTGGGGTTCCTCTTGCTTAGCAGGGTCAGTGGAGGCTGGCAGTGAGGTCAATTCAGGCATGCTAGGCCTTTTGAGTATCAAGATGTATACAGGGCCCAGATGTGCTTGCATGTACTACTTGGGGGAATGGAGGCAGGAGGATCTTGAGTTCCAGGGCAGCCTGGGCAACACAGTGAGACCATTGCAAACAAACAAAAAGATGTATAGATGGTGCAACGTGAGAACTAAGAGAGACCCCAGAGGTTGTCTGGGCCAACCTCTCATCCTTACAGAATAAATTGGACCGGTTTGGGCAGAAGACCTAATCCAGCGATTTCATTGAGGTCCACTAGGAAACCACATATAGGGTAGGAATGGGACCAACTGTTGTCAGGAAGGCCCCTTCCCCAACCTCCTCAGAGGAAACTGGGGGTGGCAGGTAGTTGCTGAGCAGCAGCTGAGCCAGAGAAAGATAAAGGTTAAGGGGAAGAGAGTGGTTCACAACCTGGGATTATCTGGCCCTAGGCCCTAGGCTGGGCTCAGATAATTACCTTGGCAGAAGGCAGCTGCAGCAAAGACCAGAGAAAGCTGGGGTGGTACGGTGTGGTGATGTAGATGGGGAGGTAAAAATAATAAAGAGGAGGAAGAGGCTTCTCCAGGCTTACAAACAGTGGGGCTGTGTCCCACAGCTCTTCGTTATCCTGGGGCAAGGAAGCAAAACAGAGCCCAAGCAACTAAATCTGACTCGAGGCTGTGTGCACTCATGAGGTTGGACTAAGGAGGGTGGGGAAAGGAGTGGGAAGAAGGGCCTCTCCTCCAGAGCCAGGGAGCCATGGCTACTGTTCATCAGCCAGTGGCACCATGGGGAGGGAACACTTGGGAGAGGCCACAAGGTGGCACAGTAACTCTGCCTATAACCTTTGGCCAGCTCAGGAGAGGAGGTGGTAAATCATGGTGCCCTTGACCTGGAATTTCCTGGAGATTTCAGGAATGTAGAGACTTTGAAGCTTGGGTAGAAGAACAAAACAGCCAATGTCGGTTGACCAAGCAACCTCTGGACTTAGTCCTGGCTAGGCATTGGATAATTTTCCATTCAGAACATGCTCCTTGAGTACTTACTGCCTCCTTCAGAAGGGCTACCAAAACAGGTTATGTCACAGTCTCTTCCTCTAACCATGCAATCTTTCTAAGGACCAAGAGACCAGAGAAACATGAACCAAGTAGAGAACTACAAAAAAGACAGAATAGGTCTGAGGCCACAATGTGTCACATAGACACTCAGTAGTCTAAGGAGAGGCACAGAAAGATTGACTTGGATTGCCAGCCTGGAGAAGGCTTCCTGGAGAAAGTGGCCTTAAAAAGCAGGCAGAGAAGAAGCCTGGATCCAGAAGAGGAAGGAAAAGGTGCAAAGCTGTGAATCAGCATTACAGAAAGCAGTCTCAGCCCTGCTGAGACTGGAAGTGGAACTAGTGACACACATGGGAAATAGCAGAAGGCTGAGCTGCATAGTTGAGGTGGAATCCAGGGCCACAGAGCCTTAAAGTAGGCTGCAGAGTTGGCCTTGGTCTGCCCTGTGTGGGGGTCCTGACAATTCTAGAGCCCAGGAATATGGGAAATATAGTAGGTCTGGTCAAAGGAAGTCCAAGGTGATTGTCCCTTGAAGGCTGCAGGAGAGCAAATGTTCAAAGGCAGAATCTATAGGACTTAAACACTGGATACTAGCAATTGGAGGTTTGGAGGGTGATGGTTCTTATCTAAGACTGCCACTCTCAAGTGTGTCTAAGCCAGTGGTTCTCAAAATGGGGTCCCAGGACCAACAGGGTCCCTGGGACCCTGTTAGCAATGCAGATGCTGAGGGCTCATCAGCATCACTAAATCAGGTACTGGGTGGGACCCAGTACTGTTCTCACAAGGTCTCTAGGGGTGTCTGATGCCTGCTGACGGGTGAGAACTGACTGTTGTCCTGGTTGGTGGGGGTTCCATCAGTCATCTCCCTCTCAAATGGATCTAGGCAGTGTGAAAACGGGAACATGGACACATGTTCCCTGCCCTTTCCAACACAGATTCCTCCTGTGACACGGATCTCAGTGAAATCTCCGGCTGCAGTGGAGACAACAGCCACAAGCTCAGAAAACAGAGCTGTTCTCGGAAGAGGGTGAGTACCGTGCCTTCTGAGACCGGCTGCCTGCAGGGGCTCCCCATCCTATCCTGGTCCTGCCACAGAAGAGTAACAGGTGACCTGGTGTTTAGACTCGTGAGATGCTAAAACAGAACCAGTGCCAGCTGTAAATTACCTTGTAATGAGGGCCATAATCCTGGTTAGATAGAGCCTCATCAGCGGTTTCCCTAGAATTAAGCTGAAGTGTTTTTCATGGTTTCCACTTCATTAACACCACTTGGAGGATTATCATTCCAGAGGGGCTTTGGTTAATTAGATAAATGGAAATCAGGAGACATACCCAGAGTCTCTCATTCACAGGATGGTGATTTGGAAATGCTTCATGAATTTATTTAGGGTCCGATTCCCACAAGAAATATAAAATATAGGGAAATTTTGAAGCAAGCTATAACTCAAGTGCTCTTGTTAATGCTGATCCAGACCCAGCAGCCAAGGTAGCAGGAGTGAATATTCCGCCAACAGCTCCCACCCACAGCTTTCAATGCATAAGACAGCAAGAGCCTGCAATTCGACAGGGACTTTTATGACTCCCCACCCCCCCGCCCCGCCCCGCCCCGTGACTGTCCACTCTGAAGTAGTAGGCAAGGGGTTTAGGGGATGATGGAGGGTGTGGGATCTTGATTCAAATCTGCTTTCTATCCTGTCACTACCACTGACTTCAGAGTTATTCAGCCCTCCATTCCTCCTTTACTTAAAAACAAATAGAGGGGCTGACAGAGTGGCTCAAGCTGTTGAGCGCCTGCCTAGTAAGCGTGAAGGCCTGTGTTCAAACCCCAGTACTGCCCAAAACAAAACAGAATATAAAGACAGAAAAGATAAGAGGATCCATCCTGAGTGGTTATTATGAGAATTAAATGAAATCATGTGTGGAGAGCTTACCTCAAACTATTGTATATATTTTATGAGAAACTTCCAGTCTAGAAGTTGGGAAGCAGAAGTTGGGAAAAACGCTCAGTGTGTACCTGAAGGGCCATGGGCTAAAATATCTTCTTAAACCTTTTCAGTTGTCAATAACAATGTCACAGACTGGATAAGTTATTTTTTTTTATGAAGAGGCTTATTTTGCTCATGGCTCTGGTCTAAGGTGAAGGGGCTACACCTGGTGATGACCTTTTTGCTGGCAAAGTCCCAAGGTAGTACAGGCATCATATAGCCAAGATAAAAAATGTACAAGAGACAGTCACGCTCTTGAGATAAACCATTAACGTGATAATCAATCACATGAATGGATTAATTTATTCACATGAATGAGATTTTTGAGGGCAAAGTCCCAATCACCTCTTAAAGGTCTTGTCTGTCCCACCTCTTGACCGCTCATAATGGAGATTAAATTTCAACATGAGTCTGGGAGGAGACAAACCATATTCAAATCACAGCTAATATCAACCCCAGGGGTGCACACCAAACCTGTGATAGTCAGAGGGGGAACAGGCCAGCGTGGGGCACTTCTGGCTGTTAGAAGTCACCTGGAAACAATTATAAAAACCAAGTCATGTGTCATTCAATGTATCAGGACTTAAGTGGAGAATTTTTTTTAAATGGACTTATATTTGGTTCAGAGATCAGTTTTGGACCACAAGCCCAGACTCCTTCGTTTCCACACATCAAGTCTAGCCACTGGCCCTTATAGCCAAATAAAGAGACATGGTGAAGAGCAGAGAAAGGAGATTTGTTACACAGCCCAAGCCACACAGTTGGAACAGGCAAAGTAGGCACTCAGCCCATCTTCAGGGTACAAACATCAGCTTTAGCTTGAAATAAAAAAAGAGGACACGGGGAAAAATGTGTGCTTAAACAGTCCCAGTCACAGGTGTGTTCCCATGGATCATTATCTCAGCCCTTCTTTAGGGAAAGGCTCCCAGAAATTGTTATCCCTTGTCCTAAGGAGGCTCTGATCTTCCCTTTCTTTGTGGCAGTTTCCTCCCTCCCTTCTTATAAACACGTAATAAGTCCTGTCCTTCCTGAATTCCAAGTGACTATAAAGTGAATGGCTTAGACAAAGACAGATGTAAAACTGAAGCTGGGATGCCAGACTTTTCTCCTGCTTTTAGTTAATTTCATGGGCCCAAGTAAGGACCAGCACTTTTCAGCAAAAGCAGTTTAAGCCAGTTCCAGTTAGCATATCATTCCAGGTAGCAATAGCTGCTGCTGACTATTTGAGCACAACAACAAAATCCTCACTGTGTCTTGGCAGAGGTCAGCCTTGCAGGTCCACATACATGCACTGTAGGCTTCTCAATGACTCCTTTCTAAGCTCAGTCACTTCTTTTTTTTTCAGTGCTGGAGATTGAACTCAGAGCACATGCTAGGCAAGTGCTCTACCACTGAACTGCACACCCAGCTCTCAGACATTGTCATTTAAACTTGTTTCTGGACCCTGAGTGTTGAACCCATAATAACCTCCTTTTTTTTTTTTTTTCACCTAAAGAGAGCAGATGGGCAGAAAAGTGAACATTTTCTGGGGGGTCTGCCATGTGCTGGATGCTTCATTATGGATCTCAGTTTTCTCTTTATAAAAGCCCCAGAAATTAGATGAAATTATCACCATTTTGCACAAGATGAAACTGGCTGGTCAAGGTTAAGCCACTTGCCTGAGGTTCCCCAGTAAGTTCAGAGCAGGATTCTATCCCAGGGCTCTTGCTCTTGTGTCTGATGCTTCAGGATGTCTACCCTTTCCAACACCATTGCTCTGTGGAGGTGGGAAACTAGAGGTTTTGGAGGACTCCAGAGGAGAGATCAGGAACAGGACATGAGATCCCCTGAATCACTGTGTCCAGGGCTACATCTTTCCCCTCTGGGGACTTTCCTGTGTGAGTCTCCCATGTGGTTTTACGATGAAGGTCTCTCTTCTCAAGTACAAAAATTAAGTCTGGCTCATCGAAGTGAGCACAGGCCTCACCCACCCCTGGCTTTTCTTTAGATCCAGACACCTCAAGAAGATGGCTGAAGAGTATCCAACCCTTCCCCAGGGGGCAGAGGCCTCTCTGCCACTGACAGGCAGCACTTCGTGTGGTGTCCCTGGCATCCTCAGGAAAATGTGGACCAGGCACAAGAAGAGGTCTGAATACGTGGGAGCCACTAACAGCGCCTTTGAGGCTGACTAATGGTGACCCTTCCCAGGTGTCTTGCATTGGCCAAGGTTCATAGGGCAAGGGGAGAAAACTTGAGGACTTGGACTGAGCTACATTCACCTCTGCTGGTAGCTGGTCCAAACACATCATCCTCTCTCACCAGCTACAGCCTGGCATAGGGCTTGGGAAAGGAAGGTCCCTGGAAGGCAAAAGGAAACTATTTCTTCCCAGAGTTGCTTAAGCCATTGGTCTGAAAGTCCCTTAAGTGACTGAGGTCATTAAGTTTATATCCTTATCTTTAAGCAACACTACACCAAAATCAAACTTTCCTAGACCAGTTTAAAGATGGCCAAGGAAGGCAGAAGGCAATTCCTGACTTCCTTGTGAGTTTTTCCAAAATGTCTGATTTCTGGTGTAAATGAAAAGCTTGACATTTGAGGCACTTATAAAACACCTTGAGGCGCTATGATTCTTAAAGACAAAGCACTATTATTCATTTGATAGTTCTAATATCTACTCGACAGTAACATCAAGGTCTGTTTAATGAACATTTGGCATGATTGCATGAATTCTCTATTGTTTTCTGTGCAGTTTTTCTGTGGGAAGACATTTAAAAATTTAACATTAATGTTTTATGAAGTGGTATACTCTAGCTTGCTTTGTACAATGATTTTAACTTCTAAAAGTGCTTTTCCATCCTTTACCTCTTCTTATTATCACAAAACCCCTGTTGAAGGAAACACAATTATTCCCAATCTACAGTTGGAGAAATCAAGGCCTCTGGATGTTGACTTGATAGCAGGTGGTCACCAGGTTCTCAGCTTCTCTCCAGCAGACTCCTTCTATGCTGATTTACTGTACCAACTGATTTGGGCATATGTCTGGGGGGCACTTTTGAAAGGAAGAATCTGATAAAGCTGGAACAAGTAAGTGATTTGAATGAAATACATCAGTATACATTAGATTAGCAAACTGTATGTGCTCAGCACCTAGGGAGGATGAGATGGGAGGATTATAAATTCAAGGATAGTCTAGGCAACTTAGTAAGAACCCATCTTAAAAACAAAACAAAACAAAATTGTGCATAAGATTGACCCAGAAGAAACTGCCAACTTTGTAGGTCAAAAAGAATTCAGCCTAATATATAATGATACTTCCTTTCTTTCAATGAAAATAGCATCATCAAAACCCCATTGTCAATAGCAGTAACCTTAAAGTGATCATACAATAATCATAATAATGGTAATAATAGCTATCATTTATTAAATGCCTATGTGCCAGGCATGATACTGGGCACTTGATTCTAAAAACTCTGAATTAGGTGGCATACGTAGACACCAATTCAAAGAGGTTAAAAGATAACTCTGAAGGTACCTGACTTACATGAGTATAAGGTTTCAATGCCTGTGTTATGTCTTCTCTATACAAAATAGTTCAGAAAAGAGAAGGAATAAGGTTAGTAAAGAGTTTCTATCTCGAACACTAAGCTAGTGGGCTTATAGAGTGCCATGTGGAGATGGACCCCGAGGTGTGGAATAGTGCAGTGCTTGATGAGTAATGCTTTTGCTTTATTTTCTCATCTGTGGTCTAAACTCCGCCCCCCAGAAAACTTGTTTTCTACTTAAGAGTTTAAATTAATCCAACCTACCTAGCAAAAGCAGGAATTCCATGGTAAAATTTAGCCTAAGACTGTGTTGAAATTTCCCATGTCTTGGTACAAAGAAAAGCTGGATCATTCTAGGTCTCAGACTCAACTGATATTTCTGACTGCTGCTCTGTGACCTTCTACTGTCTGAATTTCCCATTTCTGTATCTCCAGGTGAACCATAGAGGGCATTGAGGTAGGTAAGAAGCCCAGACCTGGGCTTTGACCTTTCCGATTTCTGCTCTTTGGCCACTGGTTTAGACTCTGAGCACCTGGCCCTCATATCCAAATGTGGTTTGGAAATTTGGACATCAAGTTTGTTTTCAGTGAGGAGTTAGTCCCAATGAACTATCCTATCCAGTGAGGAGGTCCAAAGCAAAGTCAGTGAGCAAACTGGTAATCTATGCTAGACCTCACAGAATCTTTTACCAGTATTTATTTTAACTTATTTAATTTATAATTGATGTCTTTTATTGGTACTGGGCAGCTGGAGATTTATGTAGGATGAAACTCATGTATTTTTAATTTTAATATTTCATGGTGAAGTGTTTGCCTTGTATAAAACATTTTATTTGACCAATTCAAATAAAAATAAAGTAATGCTTTGTTTGTGACGTTGATAAATGACTGGAAGAATGTGACTGGGGCTCCACTGAATCACAGAAAGATTTTCACAAAGGGAAAGAATTATGTATCTGGATCTCAGTGCTTCTTGAAATGGAAGGGAGGGCAAGAAAGAACCCAGCGTGTTCTTTCCACTTATAGCAGTGCCTGGTTTTGATATTAGAGGCCCTACCTAGTAGTTAACACCAGGGCCTCTGCTGGTGGTTCAGGACTGGACAACCTGCCCTCTCAGGACTTGCCCTCCTCCCTGCTGATGTGACCCTTTGTCCCCACCATAAGCCCCAGGGGGTCCAGTGGCTATCCATAGCCTGCTGGCCTGTCACCCGGGAGGGAATATGCCAACTTCTTCTGTGTCCACCTCGAGTTGAGCCTCACTGGAGACTGCCTCCATGACTCACAGCCCAGTCACTCGAGGAGGATGCCAAGGCTTGCTGCAGCCAGGGTCTGGGAATGACCAAGCCTGGAGTCTTCCTGTGCCAGAGGCAAACAGGGTTTCCAGGACATTTAGGGTAATAAAATTGCCTCTGTTAGAACCAAGACCGGTCAAAAATTCAGTTCTTACTTGGGTGCTCTCTGGCAATTCCCCCACTCCACCCCACCCTGCACCGAGGTTGCCTGTAGAGCTGGCAGATGGGCAGTGGGTAGGAAAAGCAGCAGCAGCCAGAGCCCAGTTTTAAAAAGAATCATGTGACACATCTTTGACACTAAATTGGCAGAGGCTGAGGGACAAGCAAGAAAAAACACAGGCAAAGATGACTCCTCTAAGGATTAGAATTTGCATTTTGTCTTTAATTTTTATCTTATTAGAATGTCAGCCTCCTCTGCAAGGTTTGGCAAATGGATCTCTACCACGCACAGGGAAAAAGAGCCAGTTCTGCAGACCAGGCCAAGCCCTGGTCATTTATTAGTCAGGTTGGACCTGGGACAAGACTCCCACCTATTCCCTTCATTGGAGGCTGGGAGGTTGGGAATGGAAGGAACACACTTGTCACCATCATTAACAGGATAGCCAAGCCTGTGCCAACCACATTCTTGTCCCCTTTTGGGGTCTGTGGAGGAACCAAGCTGAGAGGCTTGTACCACCTCATGTCATAAGCCCTTCCCACATCCCTCAGACTTCTCAGGTTCCAGTTAGTCTGAAAGACCAAAGGAAGTGCAAAGTCCTCAGTTCTGGGCAGCCCACTCTATTTTTCTTTTGTGGTAATGGGGATTGAACTCAGGGTCTTGCACATGCTAGGCAAGTGCTCTGCCTCTAAGTTGCATCCCCAGCCCTTTTTAAAGTTTATTTTGAAGACAGTCTTGCTAAGTTGCCCAGACTGGCCTCAAACTTGCAACCCTCCTGCCTCAGTCTCCCGAGTGACTGGGATTACACAAGGGAACAAACTGAGTTTCTCTTCAACTTCCTGTGCCCATAGGCTTTCTTTAGGGAGAGGCCCACTTCAATGTCAAGCCACTGTGCTCACTTCAGACTCCACGAAACTGGGGATTCTACCCAACCAGGCAACTGAATGATTGGCAGAGAGGTTGGGTACATTTGGAGTTCATCATCAGCCCCTGATAAATAAGAAAGCTATTTCTAACATCACAAATGCCATTGATAGTGCTCCAAAGGTGACCACATTCTCCTGGTAACAGCCATTGCAAGGCAAAGGGCAATGTAAGCTATGGAAATGGTTTCTTTTTTTATTATTGTTTTACTAGGGGTACATTGTGACATTAAAAAAAAAAAAAAAGCACAATCTCCCAGAACATATGGAACACAGAAAAGGCAGTGCTAAGGGAAAAGTGTATAGCCATGAGTGCATATATTAAAAACCCAAAAAGATCTCAAATAAATGACCTAATGCTGCATCTCAAACTCCTAGAAAAATAAGAACAAGCTAAACCCAAAACAAGCAGAAGGAGAGAAGTAATAAAAATAAGGGCCAGGATCAATGAAATAGAGACCCAAAGAAACCACACAAAGAATCGCTGAGATGAAAAGCTGGAAATGGTTTCCTAGTGTCTCTCAGAACTGGTTTTAACCACAACAAAACTATGGGTGAGGGTAAGTTCCCAGTTTCTCTGTGTCACCCCCCTCTACCCCCCATCTCTCTAGTCAACACACACACACACACACACACCCCTTTTCTTTCTGTTCCTTTTCCTGATTTTCTCACACCCTGTGCCTTGACCTGAGACCCAAGTGTCCTTTGGCCACCCTGGACTCTCACCAATGCCATCCCACACAAGGATTCCCATCTTGAGTGCCCCATACTCTGAACTTCCAACTGCCAGAAACACTGGCTGTGAGAGCTTGAGATACTGTGGAACCTCATGGAGACTCAGTTTCCTCAGTAGTTGCAAATAAAATGTTGTATCTTCCTCCAAACATCCTGGAAAAGATTAAACAAAATAATTGGCACTGACATGCAGCTGATATGCACTAGTATGGCCAGTCAGGTGTGAAAATGTTAGAACATTTCCACACTGGCTGGTAAGGGCCAATCCCAGAGCCCCCCAAAGCACCCTGCACCCCATTGATCCTGGTTGAGGCTCTCACCAACCTCTCTTTGGACCAGCACCTGTGAGCCTGGCACAGTGAGAGAAGGGGCCCAGGACCCACTCAGCATTATGGCCAGCATTTTTCCTTATTGGTCATTTGCCTACGTTCTGCCAGTTGTTAAAATTCTGGACTGTCCTTCTGGAAACAATGCATTTGAATGTGCCTAAAGTGTAGACCAAGTAAGTGTAAGGCAGACCAAGGGATGGAGGGTGATCCTTT